GGTCTTCCATTCTTTTCTTACTTTTTAAATACTCTAAATAGCTAACTTCATCATAATGATCCCAACTTGTTTCTTCTTCTTTTCTTCTTCTTTTTTTCTCGTCTAACAGTTGCTGCTCTTTTTCTTCTCGATGACATTTCCAAATATGTTTTTCAGGACGATGCCATACTAGTAGATGATTTTTGTTAAAAGGGCATACTACAATGTCATCTAAATGATAAATAGAGTTAAAATAAATCAAACATATTGGTAAAACTTACCGAGGWTGTTATAAATTGACGGTTTTCTAATTTGGCTTGCCATCATACGACGAAAAAGGGCTTCAAGCAATCTGATTAGTGATTACTTATTCGATTGTGGCGTCTTCTAAACATTTAGAGAATAATAATTAATTTCGACCATTTTTCAAAGGTACAGATGCATCTAACATCTAACACAAGTTTACAACACTAAATAAATATTTATTTAATATATTGTTTAAAAGCTTACCTTAATTTAACCGAAGAACGATTTCACAATGCACCAAGACGTCTTCTCCAAGAGCAAACACAAGAACAACCCTGAATAATTTCTGAATTTTTTCTTTTCTTATATTCAAAGTGCAGTGGCCAAAAGCGGTCATTTAAAATGAAAGTTGTAATCATTAGGGTAATGAGCTATTTCATTTGCGACGTTTGAAATCAGGAATGCAACACATAAAATGTTTAGGGCCACATTCAGGTGATTCATTTTAGAGGACAAATTGAAACAAACTTTCTCCAGAGTCGACATTACGTTTAGACAAATTACCTGTCTATTTGTATTAATTCAGAGAACAAATTTTGTGCAGGTTACAATGATTTCTTGTTCTATACATTTATTTTTATAATTTCTAATATAAAGAATATTGCTACCGCTATGATAGATACAATTAAAAGCTGAATTATAAAACTTGGAATTCGGATCGCGATTTGGAATTAAGTAGGTGACGACATACCGACGCTTCAAYGGTTAAATGGGTATTTGTTTTCCGTAATGAAGTAAAAAAATATCCAGATACATACATTCAAACAAATGCTAATACTCTTATTGTATTCAAGAAAGATGTTCTATTACTCATGTCTCGTCTTTACAAATATTTGGACTTTATCGTAAAAATATTTTTGCCCCGAAGTGTAATTTTCACCTCCCTCAGGTACTTCGATTTATCAGTAAGCATATAAAGGATGTAGAAGGAACAAAATTTTTATCTGGTTTTCTCTCCCACCACCATTACCATTTCATTTCCAAACAGATTTTTGGCAAGACAACTAGTCACAGTGAAATAATAATTGTGAATCAAAAATGACTGGTAAGTTAATATTAATCTATTTTACATATCATATTTTCCCAACACCTTAATCTTGCACAGACGACGTACAGGGTGCCCAAGGCGATACCACTTGAGTAAGCAAAAGGTGCCGTATTAACTCATTTTTAAGAAGAGCGTGGTTCCCCCCCGAATTAGATGACGAGGATGAAACAGAGAACGCTAGCGGAATTGAGGATGACCGAAATTAGTTTACATATGCATTAATAATAAAATTATAAAAGTAAATATATGTTTTTTATTTTGACAACATTTTATTGTTTTCATTAAATTGATATCAACAAATCCTAGCATTTAATTGTAAAAGTTTTATACACATCTTTATAATCAAACTTTAGAAAGTGCAGTGGTCGTGATTAGAAAAATGATTAAAAAATCATTAAAATCACTGGAAAGTACAGCGGGTAATTAAGAGGTCATTAATATGTCATTAAAAGTGAAAGCGCTGGTGATTAAGGGGGTAATTAAAAAGTCATTAAAACATCACTAATTACACTCATTTACTACTGATGGGAGTCCAGCAAAGTTGCAAAGGGGTATTTAGAAGAAAATCTAGAAAAGAAGATTTTCATTGCGCAAAAAAATCAGGTCGGAAGGGTTTCTGGTACTAAAGAATCGAAATGTGTGCTGAATTATTTGGGAGCGCTACAGGAGATGCGGCAGTCAAGATGGATGGAAAGATGTGTCTTTCAGTTTTCATAATTGTAAAAATATTGAAATTAATGTTCAAAAATAATTGTATACTATGTTAATATGTTATCAGTTATATATAGTTCTAATAATTTATTACAATAAATCATGGCAGTAACTAATGTATTATGTGTAACTAACGTGTTATGGGATCTCTATGATATTATGACCCATATAATTGTACAGAAATACTTGCAATTATAGAGACATAATAAACGATGATACGATAAAACAAATTATTCTTACTGTAATATTTGATTTTCCGCACTTATAAGGTACATTAGGTACTTTTACGACATTACTGTTTTCTCTGACTGTAATTTTGTTTATGTGAAGAAAAAATTACAGAAACCATATCTTCTATCTTTTTCTTGAATTTCAACCGTTTCATTTTTAGGGAGGTAAAAAAATTAAACGAATTATTGTTTTAGTTGAAATACATTGTATTTACATGTGGATTGTTTATAATGAAAGTGTTTTTTTTTCTAGTGGCTAACATGTGATATGTGTGATTTACCATTCTAGCACTCCGGGTATGTATTTATCGATCAATTTTTCGTAATAAGGCCATAGAGCTTCAATATCTGGAATTTCGGTGCTCTTGGTGTATAGATCATATTGGCTGAAAAAAAAATTAAATTTAATAAATCGACATAAATAACTATTGTATAGGTAACATACTTAAATTTCAAAACCCAGTCTTTAATTTCCTTCTCATCTTGGTTTGTTGTCAAGTGTTGATAATTGTTACTTGTATGCCAAGGATAAAAACTGTGGAATCGAATCATCCATAAGCCCTCTTTTGGAAGTGTTGATTTATTATGCACTAAAACTCTATACAAGTATTCATCATGGCCCCACGACAGTAACAAATTTTCCAATCCACAGTTTGGTTTGTAAATTCCATATTTTGTACTGAAAAGCATTTTTAATGCATATTTTGAAATAGCAATAATAGTATATTATGTAACTAGTGATATAAATGCCACTTTAGACATGATTACTAAGCACGAACGAAGCGCAGCGGAGCGATGGTTAAATAAAACGAAAGTCTAGAGCAGTAGTTACACACGTGTTACATACTATACTTTTCCTACGACAACCATTACATTACTTAAATTAAAAATTAAACTAAATGACAGAAAGCTAACTATAACTCGTGACTAATACTAACTAACAAGCATATTAGTCACGAAGTATACAGAGTGCGCCAGAACTCACGCCCTAGAGTAAAATTTCAAGTAAGGTTACATAAAAAAATGTTTAAATAATTCTATCTGTCAAAAAATCTTGACATTTATTTTTTGACATTTGACATTTTTTATGTCTATTTAATGATACTGATGATCTTGAATATGTTTTTTATAATTATTTAGTAAAGGTACTAAAATTTTGCCAAGCCACAAATAACATTAAATAGAGTTGCATTTAGGATACAGCTTCCTTCTTTCCTCCTCTAATAACCTGTAGCAAAAAAACTAAAAAATTATTTTTCCAACAGAAATAAATAGAGTCAAAGTGTAAAATTTAAACTCTCATAACTTCGAAATTTTTATAGATAGAATTTTTTTAACATTTTTTCCATGTTCCTGGTATCCTACTTTATTTACATGGCATTTTTCTATGGGGCGCGAGTTCTGGCGCATCCTGTATAAGAGGTACTGTTATGGAAACATATACGATAATCCTACGGAGAACTACATACTAGAAGACGAATCGAGATACAAAATTGCTCAATTTTTTGGACCCCAAGGCGTTTAGAGTTTCAAATCGTTTTAAATTAATTTAAATTCAACCAGTCTACTATCAAAATTTAAAATCTGTGCTCCGTTTCATGTTTTTTAAAATGCTGCGAATACGGTTGAAGATACAAGAAAAATGTAAGAAAGTTGTAGAGAGTAAAATTTCCTAGTAAAAAGTTCCGGAGACCACACCTCTATCTTTAAAGGTTTAGGCCTCAAAGACGTTCAAAGCCGCTCAAGCGACGGATTCATTTCATTTTTACTGGTGATTGAGTGCCAGAGGAACACTTTAAAGCAATTTAAACTTAAACCGTTGAAGATAAAAATATGGCCTCGCGGACTTTTTTGTAGCAAATTTTATTCTCCACAATTTAGTTTCTTACACTTTTTTTGTATCTTTAACCGTATTTGCAGCGGTCTCAAAAATATTCGGCGAAACGCAAACTGATAATTGCCTATAATTTATTCTTAATACTGTTTTCGATATTTTGGGAACGTTTCGAATACGGTTGAATATACAAAACAAGTGTAGGGAACAAAGTTGTAGAGAATTAAATTTCCTACGCGAGACCATATCTCTATCTTCAACTGTTTAGGTTTAAATTAATTTTTTGTCTCTTGACCACCGCAAAAAATGACACGTATTCGTCACTTGAGCATTTTTTAACGTCTTTAGAACCTAAACCGTATCGTCTCGGGGACTTTTTTCTTGGAAATTTTATTCTCTACAATTTTCTTTTTTATACTTTTCTTGTACCTTCAACCGTATTTGCAGCATTTTCAAAAATACTCGTATGAGACCGGGCACAAATTGATAAATGTTTAAATTTTTTAAAATATACTCGTAGTTTTCAATAAAATTTTTGCATTACCTTTATCTCTTATTATTGAGAAGTTAATGCTCTATCTGTCTATATATTTTTTATTTCATTGCTCTTAAAACTTAAATGGGAAAGGAACAACTGCGCTATCTGGCCTCACTAACGGAACTATCGAGAACGGAGATGTTTTGTTTTACATCGTGTCGTATATCCTAGTCTTTAGGTATCCGTAGATAATCCGTATTTTAAATGTAGAAGTAGAAAAACTTACTTATATTTGGGATTTGTTCCATCCACGTTATCGACAAAAGATGAGTCCCGGTAGACAATGTCTTTGCTCCAGTCACAACCTACCACAAAGGTATCTCCGACAACGGCCCATTGGGGTTCCCCGTAGAATGCCATAACTTTACCCAAATCGTGGATTAAACCCGTTAGTTGGAACCAATCTAAATCAGGATAGTCTTTTCGAATTCTTTCAGCCGTTTGGAAGGCATGGACTATGTTGGGAAGATCGACATCGGGATCACTTTCGTCTACCAAGTCGTTAAGACGGATCAAGGCATTTTTGATTGTGGATTTGAAGTGGTTGAACTTCGTCCAAGTTTTTATTTTATCTATTAAATCAAAATAATCAAATAATCAAAATAATGGTTAACATCATCATATACCTACATATTAGGGTGACTTTAGTAGTGGTGCGGCATTTTGAAAAGGTGTTAGTAAAGGAGAAAAAATACGACAATAAGTAACTAAACTGCTTTATCTGAATGTTTAAAATTTCGGAGATATGACGGTTTTAGTCCCTGAATAAATTTAAATTTGTTAACTTCACCAATAAAACTTGTCAACAAATGTGATCTCTAAGGTTAGCTCTTCATAATCTCTTACATTATTTAAAAACAATGAGATAAAATTTTCAAAAACAACCACAGAAGAAATAAGTATCCTCACATTAAAAAAGAAATGCATCAAGTATTACATTTTAAACATGTGGATAAAATCTTATTCCGCTACTGTCTTTTGTCTCTTAATTAGCAAATACATATTGTTATTAACTTTCTTGTGTATCGTGTGTGTGGTTTCGAGATCTAGAAAAACATCGTTGAAAATAATTTATTTATATCGGATGTGTCAAAAAAGTCGAACAGGCTTAAAGATACATGATTTTTCAAAACTAAATTTATGTTATAAATTAATTTTTAACCAAACAGCTGAAACCCAAAAAAAGGAAATTTAAATCCAGAATTTTTTATCATTTACAAGAGTCGTTTCACCTATCCGGAGACACATTGTATAATGTAGTTTCAAATTTATTTATTTTTTTCTTAATCAAGAATACAATGGGTGCATCCGTCCCAATGCACCCATGATTCGGCGCCTCTAACTAATACTTTTGAAAAAATGAGTCTGTGTGCTAGTGAATACTGCAATACACAGAGTGCGCCAGAACTCGCGCCCCAGAGTAAAATGCCATGTAAGGTAAGATACCAGGATCATGAAAAAAATTTCGAAGTTATGAGAGTTTAAATTTTGCACTGTGACTCTATTTAAAAAAGAAAGAAAAAAGAAAGCTGCATCCTAAATTGTAACTCTGTTCAATGTTATTTGTAGCTTTTATTGACAAAATTTTTGTACCTTTACTAAATAATTATAAAAAAACATATACAAGATTATCAGTATCCTTAAATAGACATAAAAATATGTCAAACGTCAAAAAATATATGTAAAATTTTTTTGTCAGATAAAATTTTTTTAACATTTTTTCAGTACTCTGGGGGACTACCCAATTACTTCTTTTCAAGAAAGTGCGCGAATTTTCAGACACCCTGTATGTATTTATTAAAGGTACAAAAAGATTTTAGTAGATTCTAAATCTACTTCTTGTAAAAATTGAAACAATAAATAATAATAATAATAGGAAAATAAAGGTATTTCTGAAAGGAGTTACATATCGTTGTAAATATTATCGGTTCCATAATTGCTATAGAAACACCAATTAGATCAACACTATCTTAGTATCAAACCGATAAAATTTATCAAATTCTAAATTGTTCCAGAAACCGGGCATAGTCATATGTATAACGTTTAGACACATGTACATAAAGAAGTTTTGCAAACGCATACGTTTTTTTTCCCGAAAGAAGAAGTCAGAATAATATTCAAAATTTTCCAGAAGAAGTCGATATTGCAAAAATTGCATCATTCAGGTTCTCAAGATAACAATAATGATAACATTAAAATATTTTACCTTGAACGAATTCCACGGTTTGATACGTGTGCATTTCTTTGTAGGTTTTTCGGACTCTTTCTTTGATAGGATCATTTTCGTCAACGGAGTAGTCACGGAATTGTCCTACGGGCTTTTCGGCAAAAGCTGGTTCTGGCCGTAACAATTCCGACGGGTCGATAACTTTAATAGGTTGATTTTCCTGTTTAAAAAGCCTTGTAAATAATTACCCAACTGTGTTTTTCTCTTACTTACTAGGATAACCCTCATCTTTGAATTTAACACAGGGTCGACAGTTCGGAGGCAATTTGCCGAATACTGCTTAAATTCGATATTTAAATCCGGTGTTATCGCTAAATGATTGACAAAAATTGGTGGAAAAAGTAATTTAATAACAATCATGTTAGAGGTCAAATTTTATAATTGATAGGCCTTGCATGAGAATTTATTAATTTATCTAATATTTTCTTAAAAATAATCGATTTATTGTGATAAATATGGAAAATTTTAATTTGCTCAACACATAATGAGCCTTAAAGCCTTTAGTCGATGAATTTTAAAGTTTCCATTAATTATTCTATCAAATTTTTTAATTAATTAAGAAAAAACACAGGAGTTTTTGTTTTTTTATTAAGGTTATAAAAATGAGAAAATAATCGTTTACTATGACAGATTTTCTTTTTTGAAATACACACTTTTGATTTGCATTTTGTGGCAGCTGATAACACAAGTTTATGTAGAGACGAGGTTTGATCAATATTATACATAAAGGGAGAGGAAATGAACGATTATTCCTGACATGTAATTTAAAGCCAGAGGGCAAAGCCCGTATTAGGGTACAAATTACTTTTCTCTGCGACAGAATTGTTGAATGAGAAACAATATTTGCCACGTTGCAAAATCATTTGCTCAATTTTCTAGTTTTTTTTTTGAGGCAGAGAAAATTTTCAAGTAAGGTAAGATACCAGAAACATGGAAAGAAAAAATGTTTAAAAAATATTGACATTTATTTTTTGACATTTTTTTATGTCTATTTATTGATACTGATGATGTTTTTCATAATTATTTAGTAAAGGTACGAAAATTTTAGATAGAATATTTTTATTTTTTTAACATTTTTTCTGTTCCTGGTATTTTAGCGCGAGTTTTGGTGCAGCCTGTATATCAGACAGTCAATGTTTAGTTTAATAAAATCATTTGCTTTACAAAATTTTTGTATCTGTACTAATACATGCATTACAAACAGAAATATCTTAAACATATTGGATTTTAGGTTTTTTTGACATACAACAGAGGGCCCATAATTTGAATTTGATTTAACATACTAGGAGGCTAAAAAATACATGCAAAGTATTTTCTTTTCACAAAGTTTCAGAAATTTATAATGATACATAAATTGGTTTCATATTTTACGATATTGTACTGTTGATCACAACCCTGAAAAACATTAAAGGACAATTGATTAATAATCTATTGGGTCGTTAGTGATAAGAATGGAAATTGTATTATGGTTTATGGAAATTTTCATAATTTCAAATTTATAAAATTGAAATATGTCAACTCATCGTTTTACGAGTATGTGGAAGAATTATAGTTCTTTCCATTGTAACCTTGCTATAACATTGTGACCTTTTGATTAAATATCGTTTATATATAAAGAAGTTCATCCAAATGTTTTATTAGTCTATCTATTCTATCTATTAACATGGCAACTTTAAAGTTTAAACAGGCTTCACCGTACTCGATGAAACCTTCAACCCCAGATGAAGATATTAAACACAAAGAGTAAGCAAATTTTTAATAAGATTGAGAAACTATTTTAAGTTTTTCAGATATCTGGAACACATAAAATTAAGTCAGACTGGCCATTCCCGATTCGGAATTGCTTGTTTTGGTATAGGTAGAGCTGGAACTATTCATTTATCTTTTTTGGTGAGAGAGCCCAAAGCAAAATTGCTTTATATAGTAGACGATGATAAGTCAAAGTGGGATAAACTAAAAAAATATTGGAATCTTGAAACAGTTCGATTTTTGACAAACGCTGAAGCTAAAATTGTTTATGAAGACCCAAGTGTCCGAGCTGTTGTGGTTGCCTCACCAACATATACTCACGAAGAGATAATATCAAACGCTTTAAATCATAATAAAGCAGTTTTTTGCGAGAAACCTATTGCTGGGGATTATGATAAAATCAAGGCTTTGTGTAATTTAGCAAAGAAAGTAAACCAGCCTCTGTTTTGTGCATTTAACAGGTATGTTATTACAATTTTTTTTAATGTGTAATCTAAATACACATTTTTTAGGCGTTTTGATCCCTCCTATGCTACTCTTAGAGAGAGAGTTCGCAAGGGTGAAATTGGTAGAGTTTTGACTGTAAAAGTTTGCAGTCGCGATTCTCCTTTGCCAACTATCGAATACTTAAAAGCGTCCGGTGGCATTTTTCACGACTGCGCCGTCCACGACATCGACATGAATATATTCATGTTGGGGGAATACCCGACGAAAGTTATGGTCATGGCAACAGCAAATATACCAGAAATTGCCCAAATCAATGATCATGATACTGTAGGAATTATGTTGTCGTACGAGAGTGGAGCCATCGGTTTTATAGATCTAAGCCGCCACAGCATTTACGGTTATGATCAAAGAGTGGAAGTCTTTGGAGAAAAAGGAATGATGAAAGCTGAAAATCAGCAGCCAATTAGCAACTTGGAAACTTACACTGAAAAGAGCGTCACCAAGGCCCCAATTGCCTACTCTTTTCCCTCGCGTTATGCCGATGGTTATGCAATGGAAATGAAACATTTCTTCGATGTTTTGGAAGGTAAATATCTTAATTTAGACTTTTACCTCTTTTTGAATTTGGAGCTTATTTTTACAAATACTTTTGAAGTGTAAATGATTTTTTTTTGTATACGCTCCCGAAAACAGCTGTTTTAGGGATTCATTTGAGTCTCAAAAATAAGTCTTTTCCGGACTCAATAAAATAGTACGTAAAATGATTATTTTTGGTACATAGTCCCTAAAACCAGTTTTTCCGGACATTGGTTACTATGGTGGCGATTTTTTTTTAATTATTAAGAAGTGTGAATTCGTTTTTTGGGAGCTTTAACAAAAAAAATGTTGTTTGTAACACGTACCTAAAACGTTTCTGCGGACTCATATGCTATTCCAAACTCGGCTTCGCCTCGTCCGGAAACAGCAACGATTCGTCTGCAAAAACTGTACTTTAGGTTCTTGTAACAAAAATAACTATTAGTACGTTTTTATCGAAAACAGCTGTACCTATACATAAATTTTTGTTTCAGGTAAAGCAAAAGTTTCCGTTGATAGCAATGATATTCTCGCTGTGTCTAAAATAGCGACAGCTTGCGAGGAAGCCCTAAGGTCAGGAAGATGCGTAGACCTCAAATGGCGGGATGATGAAAAACCGAGATTAGCTTGACTCTGTTAAACGTTGTTAAAAATGTCAATAAATCTGTCTCGCTTTATATTTTGTTTTATATCGGCGTACATATTATTCATAATACTTGGAGAGCTAAAAAGCTGAGAAGCGGTATTGCTGTTAAAAAATAACACTAACCCTGTTAAATTTCAACAGCCATGAACACAGTGTTTCCTAGGAGCTAGTAAATTTTTTGAATAAATTTTCTCGATGCTCGAAAATCGATAGATATAATTATTAAGTTAGAATATGTATAACTAAATATACAGGGTGTTTCAATGAAAACGAGCCACCCCGAATATCTCAGAAACTAAAAAAACTTAGCAAAAACGCCGAAACAAGTCGATTTTGTTTCCGAGGGGGACATTTTTTGACGTAATTTTTAAAGCACCTTCAGTAACCCCTTAACCCTCATGTACCCCAACTTTAAAAATTTAAATGACACCCCACTTGTGGTACATCAAATGAAAGCTATTTAAACAAGCTTTTCAAACGTTTTTACCAAAATTTAATCAGACCCATCATGAGATACAGGGTGTTTAATAAAAACTAACTATTTTAGAAAAAAATTGCAAAATAAAACCGAAACAGGTTAATTTTTGTTTTTAAAAGGGACATTTTTTGATGCAATTTTAAAAGCACCTTCACTAACCTTTTAACCTCTATGCCACTTAACTCTAAAATGTCAAATAGCACCAACCACTAGTGATACAAAAAATGAAAACACTTTTAAAATGCTCTTTAAAAGCTTTTTTCCAAAATGAAATGATTTTTATACATTCATAAAATATCGTTAAAACTAATCTTTCAGCAGTCAGTATGTACAAAGGAACTTAAGAACACTATTGCTATTTTTTAGATACTTACATTAAATTATAAGAAACTTAATTCCCTTTCCTTTAGTCCGATTATTTTGACAATAAAATAAAGAAATAAAAATATGTTTGTTACAGCTTCAATAATATTAGAATACCCTGTATCTCAAGAATGATTCAATTTTGGTAAAAAGTTTTGAAAAGCTTATTAAAACAACTTTCAATTGAAAATTTAAATTAAATTTTTAAAGTTGGGGTGCGTGGGAGTTAAAGGGTTACTGGGGATGATTTAAAAATTACGTCAAAAAATGACCCCTCAGAAACAAAATCGACCTGTCTCGACGTTTTTGCAAACTCTTTTTAGTTTCTGAGATATTCGGGGTGGCTCGTTTTCATTGGAACACCCTGTATACACTATGTAATAGTAAAATTAACTGAAAAATACAGGGTGTTTACAGTCTTGGAGTAGAAAATTGACCTAGTAATAGAAGAGTACAGAAATACTGTAACCGAGAAAAAAACTCACACAGTTGTTATTATCAAGAATGTTGTTTAACTCCAAAATATTGGTACACGGTTTGAGGGTCACTGGAATTATTTCCTTATTCAAATAAAATTGTATTGTTGCAACAGATAAAAATATCGTATCCATGACACTGAAAGAGAAAAATCACTTCATAGTTTTGACACTGTCATCATTGCTTTTGCTTTAGTTTTTATCAAAATTCGAAGATCTTGTGTTTAGTCTCTTTCGGCGAATGGTTTCCAACAGGTTTAATTCGTTTTTCTTAATTTTTCTCCAAATTTATGAACATGTATGGCAAAATATTAACATAATAAATTGGTTGTCGTGATTTATGATTTACGGTGAAACACAAGGTAATGATACTAATGGCCATTGTTGCAGCCGAAGCAGCAGTTCTCAAACAAATGGTGTAAAATGAATAATTTCCATTAACAACGTGAATTTATGTTTTATATAGCGTATTAGTTTTTTTCTACCGTAAATATCCTCTCATTTAAATTTCAACCTCAAGACCGTAAACACCCTGTATATTGTGGTTGGTTCATGGGGTGCAAAGTTATTTTTGCTGTTACATATAAATCTTTTTTTAGACATATGTATAATTTAGTTTATATTACACTAGTGGAATATAGTTATTAACGTCAAAAAGCCGATACACACAGGTGTGTCAGAACTCGCGCCCCAGAGAAAATTTTCAAGTAAGATGAGATACCACATAGAAAAAATGTTTAAAAAATCCTACCGGTTAATATATTTTGACATTTATTTTTTGACATATGACATTTTTTATGTCAATTTAATGATACTGATGATCTTGTATATGTTTTTTATAATCATTCAGTAATGGTACAGACGGTGGACATACAAAACTGGGACAAACATGACAATTGTATAAGTCAAAAAATCAGAAGTTTACATCGAGTAAATTTGGCTTTTTTACAAATAAGGTTATAAAAGTTGTGACATATTGTCACAAACATCAAGTTGGAATTCCAACAGAAATAAAATGCAAAATTTAAATTCTCATGACTTCAAAATTTATGTAGATGGAGTTTTTTTAACATTTCTCAATATTCCTGGTGTCTTATCGTACATTTTTCTCTGGGGCGCTAATTCTAGCGCACCTTTATAGAAAAAAAGTTTCAGTTTAATTTTTAACTTTGTTTTTGCCCGGCATATGCATCAAAATTAATAAAATGTTTGAAACACGTAGTTAATAAAGTGACCAACCGTCCTGATGTAGCTAAGACATGTTTAGGTTTTTATTGTCTTGTCCTCTTTTACGTTTATGTTTTGATTTGTTCTGATTTAAGAACAAACAGACCCAATTGTACCGTCTTTGAGATTTTGATTTGCAGCGAAAACAAAGTATCCTCCAAGTTAAAAACTTTTCTTGTATATGTTAATTAGATGTCGTCATTACAAATGTGGTTATTGATTGGTCCTTTAAAAAAACTCAACTGAAAGTTGAAACATTTAATTCATTTTAATAGTTATAATGTGAAAGTAAATGATAATTTGGCTTGCACAAATTTTTTAAAAATGTTTGTAAAGAATGAAGACACTCTCTCAAAGCAATTCACTCAGAAAAAAATTGAAAAAATTAATACAAAACAAAAAATTAGTATGTTAATTATAGGATTAGAATTCAGTATTTGTTTTATCAAAACATTTAATCTGAAACACTCCGAAATCATGTCATGTTTACATCATTTTACATTTTGTTTGTTCGTGAGCTAAACTGCAATAAAATCATCCAATATCCACCAATCGAACTCGCGACCTTAAAAAAAAAACAAAATTACAAACCAAACAATCAACAAACTAAAACATACAGAAAGCAGAAGATGTCGTCCAATCTTGGGTAAACCATAAGCTGAAAACTTGATTTTTTTCTTCACTACTAAAAACAAAAACGTATTTGCCTTAAATACACACACTTTAGTATTACAATGAACAAAATTTCATTTCTCACCTCTTTTTTTACATTTTTATGTAATCGACAGTTTAACAGCTGCGAGACTACAATTCGAGTATTTTGAATTTCTTCTTCGCAGTTATGACAAACTTCCACAATTAAAACCAATCGAAATATTTGCAATAGAACCCATAAACAATAGACATAATTCAAAATACTTGTCTCGTTACTTGTTATCATCACAAACAGTTGATAAGGACAAGTGACCAAATGAACATAACAGCTGAATAGCATTGCTGTTACAGTTTTGTTAAAACTTGAATTTATTGTTTCAATAGCGTCAGTTGTGTAATTGTAACAATTTATTAAATCTGAAATAAAGTCAAGTCTGATCTTAACTAAAATGATAATATTAATTGATTAAAAAACAAGTTATAGAATAAATTACTTGTGTCTCTCTTGATATTTTCTTTGATCGTTTTATTTACACCTAAAAGTCGAATTTGGGCCATTTTAACCACTTGGTAGTACTGCAATTCGTGCAATACAACAATCGAATAAGAAACATAATAAGCGAAATAATTATTAACACCTTGCCAGGAAGTGTTACCCCACATAAAAACATCAAGAGTGTAAAGTAGTGGTAAAAACACCATCCAGCATCTCGAAAACCAAACCAAATTCGAATTAATTTGTTCACACGACACCGGTGTAATAATAGCATCCACTTTGTTAAAATTATTCAAAACAATCGATATTTTTGCGCACTTGAAAGGCATCGAAACGATGAAATAAAAACAACTCAAAAGCACCTCACTGATATCAAACGAGGAAATCACTATATCGACACTCCCCGTAAATCCCAACGACACGAAAGAAGCGATTTCCATGTCGTGGACAAAGCCCCAAAAACCCCAACAAACTGTGAATTATATTTTTAAAATTTTGTTGTTTTTGTGTGTACGTACCCAAAGTCAAGGCAGTAGCACAGTTCACTATGTAAACCTTCCAAGACCACGTGATGGTAAAAAAATTGTTATGTTTTGTATAGGTGATGGGGCACAGGCCCAGGATTTGGGCGGGCTGGATGAGTGAGGAAAGGGTGTAAAAAAGGGATCGGTTTGTTGTTATACTTTGTAGCATTTTGGACAAAATAGTGTTTTTGAGTTGGAGTTTAGCGGAAATTAGAGTATACATTTTTAATGATTGTGTGCACAATGTCGGTTAATATGTTTAAAATTAATAGGGTGGATATGGTTAAATATAGGGTGCGAACACAAGAAACTCTCCGACATAAAAAATGTGGTGTTTAAACGTAATCGACTTGCATTTAAGTTAGATTTTGTTAATGAAATGTATGAAATTAAATGTAAATTTTAAAAATCTTTGTTAATACTATAATTTTTGACGAGTCGTCACTATTAGTAGTTGTAGAAATCGATAAAAAAAATTGTTTGAGTAGTTTCAGTCAAAACAAGACGAAATAACAGATAACACACTAAACAAAAACTAGTTAAACTAAACAAAACAGCCTAAGAGATACAGGGTGTTTACGAATTGCGAATATTTTAACTACTAATAGTAGTAGAACTCGTCAAAAGAAACAACTTTTCTATTTCCAACTTTCACCGAAAGCACGTTATTTTTGAGTTAAAATTAAAAATAAGTTGAGGCTGAAAACTCGTCTTAATACCAGATTTACATTCATTCATTAAAAAAATTTGAAACGTAAATAACGTAAAGACAAAAAAATTATCGCTACATTAAGGTAGATCAGTGTTAGTGTTAGTGGGTCAATACTTGCTATTATAAAATATTGCTCGAAATGTGTGGTCTTCCGTTGACAATTATTAATGAATTAATTGATTTGAGCTGCGTACACTAATTGTTTCATGTGACCCTATAAAAAAATCATACGGATTTAAATCTGGTGACCGCGGTGGCCATGCAACTAGTGTTGGGCACAATCGAATGATTTTGACTATCGAATACTCAGTTATCAAATGATTTGAACTATCAAATGAGCCATTAATCAAAATTCATTCATTCATTTTATTCAATCGTTTGAGAAAATAAATGGTGGAGAAATGATTCATTCGATAGTTCAAATCATTCGGTTCGATCATCTGAATCTTTCGCATCACAAACTTTGCCTCGACAAACAAAATTATTTTTTAACAAATAAACAAACAGAGTTATCTACAATTTCAAGTTTAATTTAATTTTATTTGTTATTTTTAGTTTTGTCCATCTCAATATTATTAGAATTGTTTTTATTTTTGTGTTATTTTTTATGAAAACCTTTGTATAATGGTTGTTAAATGGAGGTTTATTTATGGATCTACCTATGTTATATGTATGTCAATTAGTCCAGTTTTGGCTTCCAGAGCTTTTATTTACTACTTCTATTTCAATTACGTTTACCTAAGTCTTAAATGTAATTGTAATAGTAGTAGTAAATAAAAGATCTGGGAGCCAAAACTGGACAAATTGACACTGTATAATGTTTAAGTTTAAAAGTTATATAATTTGTTTTTAATTTTTGTATTTTTGTTATTTGTATTTTTATTTATTTAATAAATAAATGATTTTAATCGAATACGCGTACCTACATGCTTGACAAAATTTTAATAGGTACAAACTTTGATTGAATGCATTATTAAAGGGAGATAAACACATTAACTCACTGTACTTGAAAAAGAAACAAATGATTTTATTCGATAATTCGGTACTGCGCTTATGTTTATTTCTTTTGAATGATTTTTAATGAACGAATGAATTTTCTACCATCAAATAATTCAAATAATAGACAACTATCGAATTATTCGTTAAGACTCATTCGATGGTGCCCATCACTACATGCGACAACTGTATTTTTTTTGGGTATAAAGATTTCTACACAAAAACTTTCACGGTCAACATCCAATGCAAATTATTTTCATTGATATTTTTACTTCCACCTAACAAGGACAGACACACTGAACGGCTCGTAAAAACGATGGGAGGAAAATGCAAAGAAAAATTGGATACGGAATTTGTTTGGTCTTCAAATAATAATAATAATAATTTATTGATGCATTAACGATATACACGTTTTACACAAGTCACAATTTTAGGTAAATACAAAGAATCAATCACTTAAACTAGCAAAATTACACTTAAAAAACTCGTCAGAGTTGTACAAACAATTCAATTCGAAGAAACTTTTCAATTTTGATTTAAAAATATTGAATGGTTTTTCTCTAAAATCTTCAGGTAAAACATTAAAAAAAATGATGGCATCATATCTGGTACAACTCTTTATTCTAGATACCCTGTTATACAAAGGCACAATATTTTTATTTCTTCTCGTGTTGTGTCCGTGAAATTCATTATATCTAGTGTATTTATTAATATTTTTCTTAATATAAAGTAGAGAAATAGAAACATATAAAGAAGGCAAAGACATAATACTCAAATTAATAAAAGTTGCTCTGTAGTCAGCCTTATAGTGGAAACCTGCTATTATGCGTACTGCTCTCCGCTGAAGCGCAAATAGTCGGTGTCTTATTGCTGAGTGTCCCCAAATTACTGTAACGAATAAAAGGTGAGACTGAAATAGTGCAAAGTAGGCACACAAAGTAACGACTGAAACAGTATTAGCTAGCTGCCGAAATAAAAATATAGCTTTATTCAGTTTATTTCCTAAAACTTCTCCATGATTATGCTACAGTAAATTGCTATCAATATTGACACCTAAGAAGAGAGTGTTTTTTGCTGTACCGTCAGCGGTGTCGCATAGTGGTTTAACAGAAAAAATCATAGAAACCGTCTTAGCATCATTCTAGCAGAACTGATTACTACAATACCATTCCTTATAATTTTATAGAAATTTTCTTATGAATATAAATTAATAAATTTACCAAGAAATAATTTTTTTAAACAAAATTTATTTATTATTTATTCAACTAGCATTTGCCGCGACTTTGTCCACGTGGTTTTCTGTTCTAAAATGGAAAATGGCCCGTTCACAAACATTTCTATACGCTTATTCTGTAGAACTGGATACTGGATAGCTATAATCTTGTTAATTGCATGGTCTTTGTTTATGGATAACAGGTGGTATGCCCCTTGCTTGATTTTAATTAAAATGTTAACTGACGTCATACAAATAAAAAAAATATTACAAACTCTCAATATATTTATGTTTAAGTGGTACCCGTGACTTCGTCCACGTAGATTTCAAATATAGGTAAACTTTTGCTAATTTCAAAGAGAGAAGGTGAAGTAAATCTGTTTATTTACCAAACCAATTACAATTTACCGGTACAAACGTTTACACGCCATTTCACTCTGTTAATACTTTATTTTTGAAAAGTGTTTTCTTAGTGCACTTCTATACACTTATTAGGGTGGGTTTATAGACGGCGAATTAAATATTTGATTGTAATTAAATTTAATTCCTTACGTGATTGGTTGAATTTTGATAAACAACCAAACAGATTTTAGGATTTTGAAGTTAATTGCGATTAACATAATTTTGATTTAAATAACTTTCTGTAAGCCTACCCTTAAAGTTTTAAATTTTATGTTTCTGATTTAGTAATCAGTATTAGTAATCAGTAATCAGTAATATGAAATAGTTTTCATTGTGTTAAAAGTTTGTTTTTAAAAAGTGCCTCATTAATCCACTTCTGCACGCTCTAGTCTAAATTTTATGTTTCTATCTATGTTTAAACTCCGGTTCAGTCCTTTAGAAACTAATTTTTGAAAAATCGGATTTTAGTTCACCTTTACAACCACTAAAAAACATGTCTTTCAAATTTTATGTTTATAACTTCATTTAAAAGTTTATACCTCGATTTCACCCCCTTAAAAACATATTTTCAAAAGTGGACCTCTACACCTCTACATCCTCTACTTCCAAATTTCATGCTTCTATTTTTGTTTAATCGTGCACACTCTGTTTTACTTCTTTTCTAAGAGGGTTAATAAGTTTTTACTTACTATTTTTGAAAACTCTCATTTTAGTCTACTTTTTTTACAACCACTAAGGAACATATGTTCCAAATTGGTGTTTCTATCTTTGTTTAAAAGTTTACACTCCATTTCACCCCCTTACAGATTGATTTAAAAAAAAATCTTAGCAGAACTCTACATTCTCTAAGGAACATATCTGCCATATTTCATCTTTTTATCTTCGTTTAAATGCTTACATTTAAACTTACTATTTAACCCCTTTAGATATTTTTGAAAAATCCTTTTTTAACAGACTTCTTCTACACCCTATAAGGCACATATCTTTCAAATTTCATGTTTCTAGTTTTGGTGGCTTATTAGCCTGTGCGTTGTCTCTCAGTCAGTCAGTTTTATACAGATTGTTCGGTTAAACCCCACATTAGAAATATTGGAAATTCTCACAGTGACATTTATCTAAAATTTTGATTATACCCACAATCATTTAGATCCTGCTCAATAAAAATATTTTCAAGATGGCAGCACTTCCGGTTACACCGGAAATGGGTATCAACTACATTTTTAGATTACTCAAGTGATACAATGATACAGCTTCCTTGTTTCCTTTTCTAATAGCCTGTAGCAAAAAAACTTGGATAATTACTTTTCAACAGAAATAAATAGAGTCAAAGTGCAAAATTTAAATTCTCATAGATAGAATTTTTTAACATTTTTTACATGTTCCGGGTATCTTACCTTACATGGCATTTTTCTCTGGGGCGCGAGTTCTGACGCACCCTGTATAGATTATCAGGATGTTTCAAGTAACGATTAAGCGTTATAGTCTGTCGCAAATGATTAACAACCCCTATAAAAGAATGTCAAACTAAGATTTATTTCACACCAACTTGAGGATAGAAGTCACACTCAATTACAGTCACCCAGCCTTATCTATTTAAATATTAAGGCGCAAAATTATTTAGCAATATTTCTTCAGTTTTTTGTACAATTTCAATTTTAATATGATGTTAAATGTCTGTTTTTTTTGAAATTTTACTATAAATTTTTGAAAACAGTCTGGTAATCCTTTTAGCCAAAGATCATTCCGAATTTTTTTTTTTTTTAATTTTTGGTATACGTGTAGTCCTACCACTATACAATACAACATTGCTGCCATTATAAATACACTATTTTGTGTCAATTTTTCTAAAGATACAAGTATATACTAAATTCTAAACAACACTATAGTAAAAAAGGTATATTTTTCTTGTTGCCTCCCTCCCAAGTGACTACCCTTATAAAACATAAATGCGTCAAAATCTCTAAAATTTATCAAAACCTTGGTTTACTGACCTAATCTGTATCTAAATCAATTATGTACTACACAACATATTTATTTATAACAGTTTTAAGTACGTAGGTAAAAGTAATTTGCACAACCAGAAAACAAGACAATAATGCATTTTACCCCGAATATTTTCTAAGCGCACAAATTTTTACATAATATTATGTAAATTTCAATTATACAATGTCTAATCTTCAAATACGTATAAAAATTTTAAGTAAAATTGATTTTGACTTTGCGATTTGAAAGAAAATTATAGCAATTTTTGGCATCGGCTACAAAAGTAGGTACTTTGTAGTATCAAAGTGGGAGATGTAACAAACTTTATTCATGTTTAAAATAATAACTAGAAATTAGTAGAATAAAAATTTAATTTTGAATTTATAAACTTTCCTGCTACAATTAAAGGAACGACTCTAAACACAAGTCTGTTCAGTAGTAAGTGCGGCCAAGTGCGGCTAAAGGCGCAGTAGTAGCAATAGCTACTAGTTTATTATTATTATTATTTTAAAAGATTTTTTCGCCGAGGATAAATCTTTTACAGTGAAAATTTTCACATTTTGCAAATTGTTCAAAATAAGTATCTAAATATTTAAAAAAAAATATACTATTTCTGCGTTAACAATGATTTGTACTCGCTTGTTCCAGTTTTCAAAAGCCCTGTTTGTTAAGGCTCCAGACCGCCTGAAAGGTGGCGTATACATATTACATGTACATTTATTTCATTGTTTTTATAAAAAAATAGCCGCAAATTTAGACTTGAAGAGTTTCTTGATGTTTGTAGTGTTAAAGGTAAATAGAGACCAGGATAATATTCCCGCTTTAAATAAATTAATAAGTATTTTTTATTGAATAAAATGAGAAAATCCTAATTATTAAGATTTTTTGATAACGATATACCGTATTGAATTAAAAAAAAAACATTTTATAGGCAATTTAAAAATACAGTTCCCTGTTATAATGCGAATTTGATAACTGTTCTTGATTCTTTGATATAAAGCAAAAATTAAATTGAAAGTAGGCAACTTTTAATACATCTATTTTTAAGATCCGAGGTACCTAGAATAAGATTTACAACCAGCCGGGCCGTACCGCAGGATGTAACCCACAACATAATCGTTTTATTGCGTTTGTTCAAAGCAAAGATATGCATCTGCACCCCTCAAGAAGAGAATTATTATTATTGTCACATACCGCGGAATTTGGGTTAGTTTGGGAGTCTACTTTTGAGTCTAGTCGAGTTTACGTTTTGGAAGTTTCATTCGCGTGTGTTGTCAAAATCGTGGTGATGGTATTCGAGTGTGACATGTGCCCTAATTGGATCATGACTGCCTTTAAGCAGTAAGTAAAACTTTCTAGTCATTTTTAATAAACCTTTTTATACAAACACTCCCATGACTTTCAATCCCACCCTGTGACATTATTGTTATTTCAAAAGATTTTTTCGCCGAGGATAAATCCTTTACAGCGAAAATGTTAACTTATGCGTGTTGTTCAAAATAATTATCTCAAATATTTTTAAAAAAAATATACCGTTTCTGCGTTAACAATGTTTTGTGGTAGCTTGTTCCAGTTTTCAAAAGCCCTGTTTGTTAAGAAATTTTGTCTAAGAGTTGTTCTAAGCTTTTCTTTTTTAATTTTGTATGTATGACCTCTTAGTTTATCGTCAGCGACAACATTTACAAATTGATTTTTTTCAGCTGTTAGTAAGTCATGTGTAATTTTGTACACTTGTATAAGATCTCCATGATTTTGCCTTTCTAGTGATAATATTTTAGTTTTTTTAATTGTTGAACAAAAACACGATTAGCCCGTCACACCAAACTTTTATTTAAAAACACAACGCGTTTCAACCACAAAGTGGTCATCCTCAGGTGAGAATAAAACTAACTAATTTAACAATGGTAATGCCTTATATACTAATTTTTCCGACTTTCACTTTCCCTACCCCCAACTAACGAGTAGAAGGGAGAAAAGGGAATGGGGCCGTTGTCTGAATTCATAAGATTATCTCTATTTTTAAATATTTCAAGACTCTCGAAAGCGTCAATAAATTTACAATTATTGACTACTCTAATAATTTTTACATTAGTTTCATCGATTTTATGTTTTTTTTTCAAAAATATGTTGGGCCACACTTGATTTTTCTAATATGTTATATCTTAAATGAGCTATGTGTTCCTTAAACCTAGTGTTAACTGAACGACGTGTTTGCCCAATATATTTTTGTTCACAATCTTTACAATTAATTTCATAAATCCCCGATTTTTCTAATGGTCCTACTTTATCTTTAGGATTACCTAGAAAATTTTTGAGACTTCTGCCAGTGTTGTAAACAACTTGGTAGTCAAGATTTTTGAAAATTTTACTCAAACCTCTTGTGATTGAGGGAGTATAAGGTAAAGTTATAAACTGTGTTTTCTTTGGTGTGTTTGTAAAAGTCGTGGAATTATTGACCATTTTTCTATATTTAACTTTTTGAACCATTTTGTTAATTATGTTAGTATCAAAACCATTACACTTTGTTGCATCTTTAATAATTTTGAGCTCTTTTTCAAACCTTGCATGAGTCAAGGGAGAATTAACAAGCCTGTGAATTAAAAAGTTAAAACTCGCCATTTTATGTTGAGGACAATGATGTAAGTCAGCGGTGATATAGCGAAGTGTACTAGTGTTTTTCCTATAAATATCAAATTCTAATTAGTTCTAATTAGTTCTAATTACTAAAGTATTTAAAAATGGTAACTTTCCTTCTACTTTTTTTTCACAAGTGAAATTTATACTTTCAAAGCGGTTGTCTAAAATTTCGATGAAATGCTCAATGGTACATTTATTAAGATCAAAAATGACAAAAATGTCATCCACATACCTTAACCAAACTCTGGGAAAATATTCGAGTTCATTTTCTAAATRCTTTTCAAAACGGCTCATGYAAAGGTCAGCTAAGAAAGGTGACAATGAATTACCCATTGCCGTACCTTCTTGCTGTTCGAAAAAATTCCCCGAAAATTGAAAWYTMTT